GGTGAAAATTTCATGTCATTAGCACCTCTAGTAATATATTTACTGAGAAAAATGGTGACGTGTTCAATACTTATTTTACCCGCTGTAGCAGGGCTAGGCAACTAAATCCCTCCAATAGCCATGGTTTCTCCAAGCCAACAGCTTGTTGTTTGGATATTGCACTAAATCATAAATTTTACATTTACAAATTATTTGAAATCCATTTGTATATTGTATTAAGTAAAAAATACTAAAATTTTTTTTTTTGAAGGTGGGGTTCACTGGTGGGACAGACAGAACTCACCTGCGGCCCACAGGCTGCCAGTTGGATATCCCTWCCTTAAACTGTCCAGGTTACCAGGATGTTCACTGTTTGGATGCATTTTACATGAGCAAAAACTTCTACAGACCATATTCTAAGAATATAGACATTCTGCAGTTTTTTCAATTTTTAAAGAACTGTTTCAAAGCTCTTTCAAAGATGTCAGGAAGTATAAGAGTGTGGTGTAGACACTGAACAGGTCTATAGCAAGCATGTTTGAGAAACGCCACCAAGAAGCACATTTCTTTCAAAAACGTTCGACGCAGCTTTTACTACATAAATGGTCATCCTGTTTTTCATTTATTTTGTTCATGAGCACACATAATGTAGCCTAAACAAAATAGCGGTCCATTTTTCTTACTGCTTTGTACCAAACACAGACACTAATGTTCTCTTATATATGTGCTTGTGAGGCCCTGCCACACAATACGTTTTCCATCTCATTACCTCATTTCTGTGTGAGAAACAGAATATGCCCCCTACTGTTCAATATGAATAAATGCATTTTAAATGGACGAAGATTTCTTTTTCTTTTTTTTTTTTATCACTGGGGATATGGTTTGCATATTAAATGCAGATAGGAACAAACATAGTAATGAAGTGCTTAASCCATGTGTTATATTTTTATTTTTGAGTACACAACAAAACAAAATCAACTAAACAAGCTCCCAATTATTTAATGTTGCTTAAAGTGCACTTGTTGACTTTTTACAAGTTTTCCTATGACTTTTGAACAAAAACAAAATTGGTTGTTTATGTGATTTCCCACACTTTCAATGTGTTTATTGTTTTATTGCAACTGATTGAGTTTTGAATGGAATATGACTTAATATAGTTTGCATTACATTATTTTTTTATTTCACCATCATTTATCACAAGTTTAGTTGTTGAATTATATAAAGCTGCAAGTTTAGTCCTGAACCAGGAGGAACACCAGATGAAATGGCTGCAGATTTGTACTTGAACAAGTATTTTCAACACCAGAGCCATGTTTGCAATGTCAAAGATATTTTCATAATTTTCAAATGTAAATTGAAACTTTGCTCTTGAGAAAATAAATTAAAGTCAAAGGTCCAACATTGCTGGACAATGGCAGGACTACAATTAGATCTAACATAACAAGTTTTTGATTATTTAAAAAAAACTGAATGTTTTATGTAGACCTAACTTTTATTGGGTTACATCTGCTTTACATAATGCTTTACAAACTAGTCTTCATTATATAGGATTTGATTTTTGTGCATAAACATTCACACAGCTGAAAATAAAATTGCACAATTATAAGTAATTAAACTGCAAATGGGGCATCGACCACACAAATTTATACAGAACACACACACACACACACACACACACACACACACACACACACACACACACACACACACACTGCAATGTTTTGCAGCATGCGCAGAAATGACATCTTTAATTGCCTAATTAACATTTAGCACTCTCGGTGTGAAAACACACGCACACAAACACACAACACGGGCACGCTGGGGATTKTAATGACATCCAGTGACAGAATGCACACAATTATCTTTTTTTTTTTTTTTAATAGAGTGCAAAACGTGTATGCATGAACGCGCACGTCCACGCACGCAGACACACGCGCGCAGTTCGTTTATTCACGAGCATCATGCCGAGCAGGACCAGTTTTCTGCAGCTGGGGGGCCAGAGGTGTCGGTGAACACACCGGCTGGACACGAACCTGTCCCTGGCTCTACCCGGAACCATTATGCAGACAGGAAACTACCATTTTACCGCTAGCAGCATCCGAGGAGCCGTCGTCTACTGAGGAGGAGGAGGGGGGGACACCTAAGCCTGAAACGGGGCGGAAAGCAGGCAGCTGGGGAGAGAAGCTGGGGGGGAAAACACGAGAGAAAACCCAACAAAAGGCTACGTGTTGCTGAAGAACAGCAGCAGAGCTGCAGGACTTCGGACTCAGACAATGGACGTGCGGGAGCGGGCTAGCGGAAAGCGGTTTGAGTGAAAAGCAGCCCTCCCTGGGCCGATGGAGATCCGGGCCTTCCACTGGGCTTTTTTCATGGATGGAGAAAAAAGGCCCCGCTGACASACAGTAGGGACCCCGTCTTCGGAGCACACCACTACTCTCATGTTCTCACACTTTTACCGTCGTGCTTCTGAGCTGGGGGGTTTTGCACCCACACGTCGCGTGGTACAAGGTAAAAACAAACAAACAAACATAAACAAAGCTGCTTCCAGCAGGACTCATGTTTGCTAATGTGTTAGCCGTAAAGCTAACAGCTATCGGCTCGGCTAAGTTGATAGCGTTGCTAGCTTTTAGGCTGGGAAACTCTGATAAATCTTTAAAGTTTGAAATGTTATGAACATTAACCGCTTTTTAATTTGATCGTAGATGGGTGTATAAGTCAGGACTCATTTTAWTTCATGTTTTAATTCATTTTTGAAGCGTCAGAGCAGCGTTTTTCATAGTTGACGCTAACTCGCTGTGTGATTGACAGATCAGATGCTGCCTGCGTTTTTAGTGTATTTCTTCGGTCTGAACGGCGATCTGTTTTATTTTAAAGGTTATCAAGCTGATATATTGTTTGTCGGCGGTCATAGTGGAGTATTTCCCCCCTCCTGTCCTGCACCTTCAGCCCTGCTGGAGTTTCAGACCTGTGGATCAGCTGGTAAGATGCAAAACACTCATGTAAACACGCTCATTGCTCGGAAGTTTGCTTGTTTTGATGACTTACTTGGTGATGTATTTCATATTTTAACACGTGACTTTAAATAGAATAAATTTAAACTTGTGCCTTTTTAAAATTAATGGTGCTTTTTCTGCAACTCATCCGAGATATAAACACTAAAACACAGAGATTCACTGAATGTTTTCATTCAGCATCAACAGTTTAAATGGGGATACATTTGCAAGCTGTTTTCACAATAAATCTTGTCATTTAACAGTTTTGTAGACGCTTAAGTTGCAGCCGAATGCTTGAACGGTGCACTGACTGGTAAAGTCTAGACAAAACAAACAAAACAACAACAACTTTACTGCCAGTTTAATGTTTCCATCTGTTTGAGTGGGACTAACATTAATCAGCATAGCTGTCAATGTTCATGTCATTTAGATCAATGGTTCCCAAACTTTTTATCTTCTGGCCCACAAAATATCCATGGCAAAAACTTGTGACCCCAAATATTACTGGTCTGAGTACATGAACTTTGTTAATAACCCCAAAAACACAGGATTTTTGACAATCTAAACAGCTTGTCCACAAATATGAATGCTTATTTATACTTATTTTGTGATTTTGTAAAAGTTAATGGGAAAATCTTACATCAGCAATTATTTTATTACCCTTTAAATTGATTTCTGGAGATTATCCAAGGTGCTTCATGACCCATAATTGGGTCCCAAGCCCAACTTTGGGAACCAAAGTGCAGTGGTTCCCAAACTTTTCAGCTTTTGACCCACAAAATAACAGTARCRGAGACCTGTGCCCCCAACTATTTTTGGRTGATAAACATTTGCATTAGGTYAACTAAACATGGGCATAGTAACCATATTTTTATACTACATTTATCCATTTTAAATACACTAACCTCACTCCTTTGTAACAACTAAGGCAAAAATGTAATTAATTCAGAAAATCTTTTCAGGACCCCACCTTGATTTTTCAGGACCCCACTGTGGGTCCCGACCCCAACTTTGGGAAACACTGATTTAGATCATAAAATATAACAGTCATCATTTTTTTGAACGATTAACCAATTTAAATTAGTTATTTTCCTGCTGCTGACTGTTTTACATCAGAATCAGCAGTTTTGCACACAGTTCTGCATTTTTCCAGTGGAAGTTTTGGCAGCATCCTCATAGGTTAGTTATGTARATGAGAGCTGACACAATCAGGACTGGAAAAAACAAAACAAAACAAATACAAAAAAAAAAACATACATAATCAACTTTAAGGAAGCTGTTTATCTATAATATATGTGTTTAAGACAAGCTTAACCTGATGGATAATATTTTTAAGCTGGCTGACTTTTATCATCAACACAGTGTCCTCAAGGTGATAGTTCATGTTTTGCACGAGCAGGAGACTTGATTAGGATTTGATTGACATCAAACTTTTCTCTAGACCTTGCATGTATCTGTGGAAAAGACACACAGACATGGGAGGGACATGTTCTTTATTTGAGGTGACAATGTAGCATCTTTGGGTGTTGAATTAGCATCTAATGTTTTGGTGCATTTACAGGAATTGCACACAATCTTGCAAGAATCAATATACTATTTGTGAAATTGAACACATKTACAGTGGGGAGAACAAGTATTTGATGCACTGTTGATTTTTCAGGTTTTCCCACTTGCAAAGCTTGTAGATGACTGTAATTTTTATCATAGGTACTCTTCAACTGTGAGTGATGGTATCTAAAACAAAAATCCAGAAAAATACAATGTATGATTTTTAAATAATTAATTTCCATTTTATTGTGTGAAATAAGTATTTGATCATCTATCAACCAGTAAGAATTTAGCTCTCACAGACATGTTAGTTCTTCTTTAAGAAGCCCTCCTGTTCTCCACTCATTACCTGTATTAACT